TTTGCCTATTTTTAAATTTGGCCATACGAAACTATTTTCTTTTACATTTTATCTCCTAAAATACACTAAATTGACAATTTGTCACTTCAATTAAAAACTCAACATGACATGAAAATTTTTTCAACACAATAAACTATAAATTCTGAATCCATCTTTAAAATTGATTAACGGCTTTTGAAGTTCATCGCGAAACAAAAAAATGAGGTATGGATTATCGATTCTGAAAATTGATACGTCGATAATCGATCAACGAAGAAGGATGGTCTACGTGTCTATAGAAAAACATATTTCGGTTCAACTTTTTTAATAATCAAGATAGTCGGTTTTCGATTGGGAGGTGTCATTGAAAAGTTTGTAGGATGAGTTTTCTAGCGAGGTAAATATTATGAAAATCAAACAATTGATTAGTAGCCTTAAAAATACTAGATATATTTGTCAATTTGTTTGACTACTGATGAAAATCTAAATGTTGGATTTTCATATAATTTACCTTGTTAATCTAAAAAAGCTAGATATTCGTCAATTTATTTGACTACTGATCAGAATCTGACTGTTGCATTCTCATAAAATTTACCTTGTTATTTAACTCATCTTCCAAGTTTTCAAATGACACATCCCAATTGAAAATTTGATGCCTTGATAATAAAAAAAGTTGAATCGATTTTTTTTCTATACCACGTACACACACTCTCTTTTCCAAAAAGCGATAAATCATATCTCATTTTATTTGCCTTGTCACGGGCTTCAAAACCTCAAGATTAATTTTAAAGATCGATTCAAAATATTAAAAAAAAATGTGTCATGTTAGGGTTTTAATAGAGAATGCAAATTGTCAATTTCGCGTACTTTTTTGAGGTAATATATCAGGAGAAAATTTTAGGCAAAGTATAAAGACGAACATACTTTAGGAGGTAAAATAAAAATTTCTCTTTCAGATTACAATACTTTAGATTCAATAAAAAAAAATTATAAGTCACCTAGATAATAGACCCAGTCTAAAAATATATTCGCCAATGCAAGTGCAAGTGAATGAGTCTGTGGATGTGGCATTAAAAAAAAAGAGACACGATCTACACTTAAGCCTATTTTAGACTCAAGTAGAGACACAGTCTCTTACATTAGAGTGAATATTATTAAATTTATATTGTTTTATCCATATCATTCAAGATTTGGGTTCATTTACATGAAACATAGACAAAACTAGACCCAAAACATTTATAGTATTTTTTTTAGCTATTTCATAAAATACATCGGAAAACCTAAATAAAAAAGTGGTGAACAAAATTTCAGGATATGGCAGGTAATATCAATAGATTTGTTCGATGAGAACTAAAGGGCATACTGCAACAAGTTTCAACAATTCAAGTCTCCAACAAAATAAGAATAAGAAACAAAGGATGGTCGTCATAAACAACAGAAAAAACCTTAGATCAAACAAGTAAAGCACGAAGCAAGGACAAAACAACACAACAAACATTCGAACCACACACTCATAAGAGTGTGATCAGAAAATCAAACCACTCTCTTGTCAGGGCAGCGAAAAGAGACAGCAAAATAGAAGTAAAAGCACAATCAGTAGACTCTTCAAACTCAGTTTACATATAACAGAAGGGCATAAGCGAACAAAGAACCTCGAGAGTAAGAGAGCTAGCACATCCAATCTGAAGTTTACAAGCATGCTTCGAAAGCTTCAGAGGCATTTGCCTCATTATCCAGCATCTGAACCACCTGAGCAACACCAGCAGCAAGTTCCTTATTGATAGCATTATCGGGCATGTCGAAAGTTCTCCTTCGAATGGATAGGGATTTCCCGTGAGGCTGTGGGTCCACCACGTCAAGCATTGCTTCCAGCTCATCCACCATTGACTTCTTTGCTCTTCGAACCATCAGATCAGCGCCCTAAATATGGAGGAAAAAAAAGTTGTAAAACGTCAAAAGACGAGTAGTTGCATTTGCACCTCTGGAAGAAACGGTATATAGAAGCTTCCAGAAACACAGCCTATATATATTACTCTCTTCGAAGATTTAGGAGAAAAAGAGAAGAAAGAACGTGTGAAAAACGTAAGAATGAACTGAATATCCTTGCATTTTTCCTTACAGCGTGTTCCACAATAATAAGAAAAATTAAAGTCTCTTTACACTAGCAAATAGCAAAAATTCATAATTCATTAACTGCAGTCTGCGTTGCAATCATATTCAAAGCAAAGTTAGATTGCGAGACATTCACGAGTACCATTCACATCACTCTACAAGACAAAAGGGTTGAGAAAAATTAATATATTTTCCAGAGCAATTGATTTCATTCAAGGAGAAAGATTTTTAACTATATGATTTCTATACCTCAATAGCATCAACAGTCAGGAGCAACACGATGATCTTTTCAGAGAACCTCTGACGTTCTTCAGCATCACGGGCCAGAAGGCGTCGGTAGGAAAAATTGTGGAAAAAACCCCTGATCTCCTTCAACTTGGTCTTGGCAATGGCCATCTCACGAAGTGAACGTAAGGCCTGAGACCTCCGAATGATATAAGCCCTAAAACTCTTCTGAATAAGAACAGCTGCATCTAGTGGAGACAGCTCCTTCCTCTTACCCTTACTCTTATCCACTCTCTTGGCAAAAACCTGACAGCACAAGAGAAGTAATTATTAGAATCTCTCTCGCAAGTGTAAAATCTCTTCTCCTATAATTGTAAACTAGGCCACAAATTGAAACACCACCACATTAGTTCGAAGTGGTTGAACATGATTCTTGGGGAAAATCTGCTATAACACACATTCTCTTTCTCTCATACAAGTATATTTTAGACTCTGAACCTTAGTTTAGGCAAACCTTTCTCTTTCCAGGGCCTGAAATTCATATCTAGTAAATAGAAAATAGCTCAGGCTACTGTAAGTCTCTGTAAACAAGGTCAGAAGCATAAAATATGAGTGGGGTATAGAACTCGGTTGTAATTAGTCTTATTCCACACTTGAGTGCAGGCTAGTTAGATAGAAAATGATAGTAAATAATTTAATTGAGACATGGAAGATTGTAAATAAGACAACCAAACTCATAACCACCACCAATGGATATAACTTGAGACGAGAGCACATATAATGGTGAATATTTGAATAGTCGACTAATATGCAGATCTGAGGTGCCCAATTTCACAGAAAACAATTTGAATCCTCGGGCCTGGGTTTTGTTTTAGCTTTCACAAATCAGTAGAATTATATAACATTCCATTCATTTGAAGTTGACAATCAATAACTCTTACACACCAAAGACTTTGCATTGTGAAAACCATAGAAGAACAAATTCAAACTCAAGCTAGAACAATATGGATCTGAATAAAATATAGTCATATCCATGTTAATAGAAGACATTACTGAAATCACATCATAGTCCATCTAGCACCTCAAAACAACAGCAATCAAGAATTCGTCAATTTTTTGCATCACCAATCATAACTGAATGTCCAGACTTTAATGNAAAAAAAAAAGAAAAAACCATACTGACCTGCCTCAGAACAATCCCCCCATGATCGGAGGGCTCCTCAATCTCAACAATGCGGGCACTGGACCCCACTGTCTTCGTACCCTTCTCCTTGACCTTCTCACACTTCTTCTTCTTCTCCTTCTTCGCCTTCTCCTCCGAACCACCAGTGGACACCTTTATCGTGTACTTCTGCTCGAGCGGCAGGACGCGGGCCCCGCCCTTCCTATGGATCTCAGCCGTCAATTTGTAGCTCTTCTCCTGCCCTTTCTTCCCGTCATTGATCTCAGCCGTCCACTGGTACTTCCGGTCGTTCTCCGGGCTCTTCACCTCCGCCGTCCACGTGTACTGCTTCTTCTTGCTCTTCTCCTCCCTCGCCAGCCGGCTAAGCCCCAGCTCCAGCTCCAGAGCCGAGACGCGGTCGCTGAGCGCCTGCAGGTACAGATCGCCCAGTCCGGCCCGGCGCGTGACGCGGCGAGTGGAGGTGTGAAATGGGGTTTCGTCGATCTGGATCAGATCTGTGATGGTACCAAATTCATCGAACAAGGAGGGAGAGGCTGGGGCGAGGTCAAGGAGGCCGAGAGCGCAGTCGAGCTCGTCCTCAACAATGGGGAAAGATGGGAAGAAATGGTTCAGCGCTAGGGTTCTTGGAGGTCTGAGAATGGAGGTCTGGTTGAGGTAGTGCGAAGGAGAGTGGCTAACGAGCTCGAATCTACTGAATCTGCTCATCTTTTTCTTTCTTTTTTTGTTTTTGTATTTGTTTTTGATTCAATCAAGAAAAGCTATCCTTCAGATAAAAACGGCGATGCCTTTTGCTGTAGGTTCACAGTCGGATATGTGCGAGTGAAAAGAATAGTTTTGGGAATATAGCTCAAAACTACGCGGAAACCGAATAGATTGGTGCGGTACAGTTCGATTTTTAAGAGGTTCAATTTGCGTGCGGTTTGAGTTGTTTAATGCGGGTTTCACCCGTATAAGTGCAAGAAAAAGTTTGATGCGACCCCAAAAAGCCATTTTACTAATTTCTGTTAAATCACATCGGCATTCTCTAACTAAATTCATTAGAAAAATTATGAATTGTTTTTTAATAATAATATCCGATTCGCAACTCTCCCCACTAAAAAAGGAGCCGGATAAAACAAGAAAAAGGAGAAAGGAATATTTTAGGCAATGCAAGAATAAGATTTTATTTTCCTCCCTAAATCACACATTTTTCAGACGATATTTTATTCTTATAATTATAACTGATTTCTCTCTGCAAAATATATTTTCTTAATGTCCCCCTAAAATCTAAATATTTTTTTTTTTCGTAATCTCTCACAATCATGAGCTCTGGAGATGGAGCCCCTCAATCCAAGACATCCCAGAAGCCCACATGTAACTTTNTCCTTTTTTTCCCCTTATTTCTTGTTGCATTTGGTTATATGTTTCATTTCGTAAAACGTAATCAGAAGTTTCTGCATTTTTTTCCTTGTAATATTATCTGACAATATGAATCTTTATTTATTCATTTATTTATTTTTTGTTCTGTTTATTTTTACCGTCATATATTAATTTATAATGGATGTATGATAGTTTTTTAATTTTTTTTTCAGATTCCAGGTTTACCCAACAAGAACTTCCGGCCTGCAAGCCAATCTTAACTCCTGAATTGGTACTTTTTTTATTTCAATAATACATTCTTTTGTTTATATTTGATGTTTTTATTTTTCCATCAAGAATTTCTGATTTGATTTTCACTATGTTTGTTCAATTTTTGTGCAGGTTATGGTCACTTTCATTTTTCTTGGCATAACCTTCATCCCCATTGGTCTTTCTCATTTGTCTGCTTCAGAAAATGTAATAAATAAAACTGCAAATATTTATGCACATTTTTTATGTATTGATGTTTTAAATTTGGTATCACAAATTACTCAACTTTAAGCTTTCATTTGCACATTATGTATATAATTTGCAAGCTTCTAATTCTTTTTTTTTTTCCAAGAATTGAACTATGTATTTTTATCACGAATTCGAATAAATTGTAGGTCGTCGAGCTTGTAGACCGTTATGACGAGGATTGTATCCCTGCAAATGATCTAACTCCTCAAGCAGCTCACAATAAAAGGATTGGATACATCCAAGATATCAGAACAGATAAAACCTGCACAAGAACTTTAACTGTTAGTCCCCTTTACGTTTTTCCTTGTTATAGTCATTTAGGCTATGTTTGTTAAACGTGTTTTTAAGTAAATTTTGAGCTTATAGCTATAACTTATGACTTATGGCTGAAAAATTAGCTTATTGATAAAAGTGTTTGGTATAATTATTGATAAGTTAGGTGAAATAAAAATTTCAACAAGTTTATTTTCAAAGCTACCTAAAAAGGTTTATGAGATAAACTCGAGCTTTTTAAAAAAGCTGGTCATATCAAACAAAACTTATTTGAATACATGAAGTTTATAAGCTAACCAAATAAGCTATAAGCTAGCTTATTTAGTTACCAAACATAGCCATATTCTAATGTGATCCTTAATTTTTCACATGAATATTTTCACGCGTTTACTCAGGTCCCGAAGAAGATGAAGCATCCCATCTACGTTTACTACCAGCTAGACGAGTTTTACCAAAATCACCGCCGGTGAAAAATTTTGCTATCATAACAATATGGATATTGATATTGAATATTTTTACAAAATTCGTGCATTTTTTATTGCCCCTTTTTTGCGCAGGTACGTGAAAAGTAGAAACGACGCGCAATATAGGAACCCTTCGGCGGCCCACAGGACAGGGAATTGTGAGCCCGAGTCAGTTAACGATAACCGTGAACCCATAGTCCCGTGTGGCCTTATTGCTTGGAGCTTGTTTAACGACACATACAGTCTCTCGAGAAATGGTGCTGCTTTACCGATTAACAAGAAGGGTATCGCTTGGGAGAGTGATAAAATGCATAAGTTTGGGTCTAATGTTTACCCGAAAAATTTCCAGAGTCGAGGACTCATAGGCGGGGCCAGACTCAACGAGAGCATCCCTGTAAGGCCGCGCCCAATATTTTTTTATTTTTTTTTTCATATATTATTTTTGTCACTCTTATAACTATGTTTGTTTCCTTTTCAAATTCTATTGGCTGGCTGAATGAACAGATATAAATACACATAGTTACATAATGAATATTGTAATTTGTATAGTGAGTTCCTTTGGTGTTTAGTGATACAAATCATTTACTAAAAATATTGGATAATAATTTTGTATGAAACAGTTGAACCAGCAAGAGGATCTTTTGGTTTGGATGAGAACAGCAGCTTTGCCAACATTCAGGAAATTGTACGGCAGGATAGAAACCGATCTTGAGGCGAACGAGATAATAAAAGTCGTGATACAGAACAACTACAACACCTATGCTTTTAATGGGAAAAAGAAGTTGGTGATTTCAACTACAACTTGGATTGGGGGCAAAAATGATTTTTTAGGCAGGGTTTATATCACGGTCGGTGGGTTTTGCCTGATGATTGCTATAGCCTATATTGTCGTCTATCTCATCAGGCCAAGGTAAATTCATTGATTGAGTTCTCTCTTTCTCCATTTTTTTTTTTTAAAAAAAATAAGGATTGGTGCCCTTAAATTGTCTTCCAAATAGTTCAATCAAGATCATCTTACTGGAATTCACTTTCTGCATGCCAGCTTATAAGTATTTAATATGTAACCATATGGGACAAAAATGTTAAAGCAAAATTTGTAGGCTATTATCTTCTTGTTGTTTGCTGTTCGTATTTCGGTGCTAAAACAAATTTTCTTCTACACTGTGCAGGCCTTTAGGGGATCCATCATACCTGTCCTGGAACCGAAATCCGCCATCCAACTAATTTTATTTAAGGAGATTATGAAAAAAACTAAGTTCTTGATTATAGTTTGGAGATGAACATCACATTGCTCTTTAACACATTTTGTATTATCTTGGTCTTAGGCTGATGTAATGGTAGAAAGGGGGAACTTTATACATTGAACTTTATGAAATTTTATCAGTAATCTTTGTTTCTATTTTTTTTTAAAACTTTTTTTTGGTTCTCCTGTTTCCCCTTGTCAAAGCCTTTGAAGAAATAAAGAGCCATATATACTTTCACTGCCCTTGTTAAATTTAATGTCAATTTTCATACAAGATTTTTATNTTCTATCCTTAGGTTCGGAGGTCATGACTGCGTTCATTTTCTTTTACTCGTTCTTTTTTTTTTGGTACAAAAAAGGAGGCGAAGGCCTTAGGCTATAATGTTGCGAGGGTAAGAAACCCTGAGAATATCGTGATATAACCACGGTTTTACCCCCGTGGGTGGGTCGTCAAAAACATGGAGCCCACTTGGCATGGTCGAGGCCATTGACGCAAAGCAGTGTGCTGCAAAATTCTCCTCTCGATGGATGTGGCGGACCTCCACTCCCCAATCTCTTGCCGAAAGGTCTCGGATTCCCATGATAATACTACTGTGAATTCTGGGTGGCACCTCATCGTCGCTGTCTATTGTGTTTTTGTACTTATTTTCGTGTGTTTTTATGTGCTTTAGTTTAGTGTTTTCGGTTTCGTTTTAGTTCGATCGGTCCATTTTATCGTGTTTCGTGCATTTTTATTCCCGTATTGTGTTTTTGTGGTTCGGCCTTTTTTTTCTTGTCTGTTTGGTGTTGTTTAGGTCCACACGATCGAGTCTAGGGAGATGAGTCATTTCTGAGACATTTTCAAGCCGTCCGAATCATGTCCGAGCCACGCGAACCATTTCCCAGCATATATATTAATTGCACGGTGATATCGATTTGAGCATTCCAAGACGAGGAGAAAAAGATTTGAGGAGCATGGGTCGAAATTTCGAGTCAATCGAAGAAACAGGTGAGAAGTTAGAGCGAATCGAGCGCCAAGGGGTCACCGGGACCATTTTCAGCACTGGCAGCCCGCGCCCACGAGTGCAGAGTCGCCCGCGAGTATTCAGGCCCACGCCCGCGAAGTCTCATGCTGCCCGCGAGTCTCAGGAGTGTTGCGCACAGTGCCCGCGAAATTCCCAAGCTCGCGCCCGCGAAGAGGCGTGCAGGCCGCTAGTCCACCTTACGAGCGACACTGCGACCGCGAAATCCCCTTCGCTCGCGAGTTCCCCATACACGTCCCTGCTGCGTGTGAGTCTCTCCATCTGCGCCCGCGAGTGTCGCGCCTGCTCCTGCCCGCGAAACTCCACCCGCGCCCGCGAAGCTCCCCAAAGCCGCGAGTCTAGCGCTCATGCCTGCCTAGCCCGCAGACCAAGCTCGCGAAATCCGAGCCAAAACTCACGAGTGAGCCTTAGCTCGCGAGTTTTCTCATTTATGTGTGTGTTTTAGTGTGTGTTTGAGGTGTAGCTATAAATAGACTTGATACTTTGTAATTTTAGAACAATTCCTCATTTGCTAAAATTTTCCTTTTAGTTTTTCTCTTCTCCTTCTCTCTAGTTTTCTTTCTCTCTCTAAGGACTCTAAGACCCTATTTTTATTATAATATTTCTCCATCAAGATTACAACTTTTCGGCTTATTTCTTCTCGTGGATGCACTAGAGACTTGGAGACTTCGTTTAAGGTCCGATTGGAGACTTCGTTTAAGGTTCGATTGGAGACTTAGTTGAAGGTCTAGGATCTTGTAAGTCTTGATTGTCTTTACTAATAGATTTTTCTAGGGTTAAGATAAGAGCTTCCATGAGTCGATTATGTTATCATCCTCGTAGGCTAGGGATTATGTGATTGTGTTATTGATTGCGTTAGCTTAATTGCATGAGCGAGAATTGATTGAGAGATTGATTGGTTGATTCCGAGTGACGATTGCATGTTCCCGAACCTATGAGTGCCTCCTTTCCATCTCGGGTCTTAGGGTACCTTATTATTTTTCTTTCTATTTTTCTTTTCCGTGCAATTTGAGGACTTTCTTGCAATAAAATTTCCATCTTGCTTTCGTTCTATTTCAGAGTTGCGATCTTTAGCTTAATTCAACCACCAAAATGCGAGTAGAATGTTTAGGACTTTTTATTTTTCTTTCGTGTGAGTCAATCGTTACTTGAATCCGTGTCTGAATAGCCTTCTTTTGGGAACGACTCGAGTCCGAGTAGCTCGGTTACCACTTACCCAAAATTACAAACAGTCGCTTTGCAACACCACCTTCACCAAGCTGCTATTATCTACTTCCGCTATAACCAATCGATGTCCTTATCCCATGCCATTAGTAGCCCTTGGAATAACCCCAATAGTTCCGCACCCACAATTGAACAAAACCCAATATTAATCACAAAACCGCCCCTCCATCTACCCTATTCGTCACGCAGTAGGCCACCTGCCCAAGCCATCCTCGTTTGGCGATGGAAAGCACCGTCGGAGTTTACTTTTACGACACCAGCTGGAGGTTTGGACCAAGATAGCCACCTTTGCTTCTTGTACCTGCTCGACACTCCCATGACTTTGGTAGTATGAAAAGCAAAAATAATGCCCTTAATTTGGTTCCCTATTGACGCCACTCGCTTCTGTACATTAAGGCTATGGCTGTCAAAAACGAAAGCGTTCCTATCCCTCAAAGTCTCCACAAAGTAACACCGAAAACGCACACCAATTTTTCACGTGGATGTGCAATCCGTTTCTTAGATTTTGACACACCCAGTCTCGTAGGTTTAGTTTGAAGAAAGACGCCTGATATTGGAGTGGGATGATGCGACCCCAAGTTTGTGTAGTGTGACTGCAATCCCTCAAACAATGCAAAATCGACTCCCGGGCCGCACCACACACCTCACACGTAGCACTTGCTGTAAGGTGCCTACGGTATCTTTCTTCGTTGGTTAGGAGGCGGTCTTTCATAATCAGCCATAAGAACTGAATCCTCTGTGGCCTGATCCAGCCCCAAACCTCCCTCCATAATTGTCTATCCGCCACCATCTTCACGGCTTCCAAGGCAACATAGGCGGACTTGGTGGTGAAGCGCCCATCAGAGGACCATCCCCAATACATGGCGTCGTCGCCTAATCTCACAGATGGACCTTATTTCAGAAGTTAGTTTGACTTTCTTTGTATGATGTGTACTTTATAATTTATATTGCAGATATCTTTTGAGTTTTGACAAAGTCTTATATTCGAAAAGGTGGAATTATTGAAGGAAACGAGATGTCTTTTTTTGAGTCCATTTCCTATATTTCAAGTGGATGTTACTTCAAATTTTGTTTTTTTCACTCTTTATTTGAGGTACCATTATTTATTAATCACTAAAATAAAATATGTAATTTCATTTTCTAAAAAAGCTGCATTATATAAGTTATAGTAAGAAGTTTTCCATATTGACAAAAACCAGATGAAAATTAAATCTGTACAGGTGTAGATACAAACAACTATATGGTACAGTATAGCTAACACTAAAATAAAAGGCTAAGGACTTTTACATCATTAATTTCCCATCAAATGTAACAATACCTAGTAGCAACACCGCAAATCCTACACAAATATTTTTTTTTTTTTCGNTCTCCCAATGGAATAAATTGAAAAAGGCTGGTGTGTGAATAACAACAGTAGCATTTACTATGTGGGAGGTATAAGAATAGCTTCATATTCAATCAGACGAGGCGTAAAAGCAACAAAAAACCACCTCACAGTGCAAATGGCCCCCACAATCATCCCGCACCCAAACGCGCCGCCGTACTTTCCCATTCTACTCCACACATTCTCCTCCACCGCCGCCGCCTCCTCTTCCTTCTTCACGTCCCCATCCTTCTCCACAACACCGAATAATTCATCCGTCGTATTCTCGCAACGCGAATCTTCCGGATCTGAGTTCGAATCCGAACCCGAAACAACGCTGCCGCCGCACGGAACCACCTGCTGACCACACTCCTCCCCCTTCGCACCTCCTCCTGCCGCGGAATCGCGCGGAACCTCCCCCGGCGGCCCTCCGCCGGAAAAATCCTGGGATTCCCCCGAACCGCCGCCCCGGAGGAGCACCGACAGCCTCAGGTCGTTCCATTCGCGGAAGGTCGACCTCAACGCGGCCAGCCGCTCCCCAATTTCCTCCAATTGGCCGGAGTTCCGCGGCCTGGACGCGATCTCCTGCGAGAGGAGGTTGCGCAGGAAGGCGAAGCGCTTCCTGATGTCGTCGAAGGCGATCTGCTGGAGCGGGCCGGGCGGCGAAGCCGGGTCGAGGGGGATCCGGATGACGTCACCGAGCTCGGTTTCCAATTCGCGCAGTTTCTTCTGCAGGATGACTGATCTGTTCTTCATTTTGCTGTTCAAGGTAATTTTTCGCGGCATTTGCAGTTTTTCCTTTTTCCCTTTTTTTTCGCTGTTGTTTTTTCTTCTTCTTTTGATTTAAGTTTACCGTGTGAGAACGGTATATTTGAACTTTTTTGAAGGATAATGGTGGTGAACCGCCGCGACGGTTTTCTGCAGATTGGGGGCGGTTATTATATTTGAAAAACATTGAAATTTGTAAAATTTCTACACAATAACATCATCTCATCCAAATTCATTATTTACAAAACGACATCGAACAGTCCTATCACACAATTTTTCTTTCCAAATTTTTTAAAATTCCATCCTACCAAGTACCAAATTACAATCTGCAGGCTCCCTTGTGTACAAAACCATATCCTCCTCTGCCCTTCTCTTTGGCAAGAGCCATAATTGGATTAATAAAAACTAAAACCCCATTTATATCCACACATAAAACTTTTATACACCACAAATCCAATTAAACAAAACAAAAACAAAAAAACCCAAATTTTGTAATTCTTTTTTATTACCATTTTCATTTCATCATACATCCAGTACAGCTGTCCTCGGCCCCCGAATCTTGGCGGCCACCTCATCGATGACCAGCCTCGTCAGCAGCAGCCCTGCCACCAATGCCGCCACCATCAGCATCGTGAAAACCGCGCTCCAGCTCCTTCCCGACACGTACCCAGTCAGCAGCGGGCCCACGGCTGCCCCAATCGAGCCCGTCCCGTCTATAATGGCTGTGACAGTGGCGATGGCCCGCGAATTCCCTTGCAGGCAGCTGTGGCTTCCCAAGTCAGTCGAGACAGCTGTCGTAATAAGCGCGTAGGGCCCATTTACAAACAGGCCCGTTACTATCATGAGGATTGCGTTCAGGCCCATCGACACGTGGCCGTGGCTCCTGTACAAGAAGAGAGCCGGGATTGTGCAGTACGTGAAACTCGCGGCTGTTATGGCTCGGGCGTTTAGACAGTCGGAAATGTGGCCCGCGAGAATTCCCCCGATAACCCCTCCCAAGTCGAAGAGCGTCGATAGGTTCCCGGCGTCCTCGTTC